ACTGGACGAGACCTCGTTTCGGAGGCGGCTGGCGCCGAACGCCCCGCGCCGCTGCGCCCGATTTCCAGAGCGGAGCGCCGCCGCCCACAGTGGTTCGCATCGGAAGCATTCGGCAACTGCGCTCTTTCGTTGTTGGGAAGGGCGCCACAGGTAGCACACGTTTTAAGCCCGTTATTTAATCACATTTTAAGCCAATTATTTTATTTATTAGCAGGCCTTTTTCGAACTCTTTGAGATAGCCACCATTACACGCTCACAGTTCTGAATAGTCCCATGTTTTGCTAATGGGTAACATATGTATATCTATTTCCGCTACGAAACATCATATGACATTGTTTGCAGTTTTGTACATTAACGCATGAGTATTCGCGTCTTGTTTTGTAACTTACGTTACCTCGCGGTGTATTCGGTCAACCACTTTTAAAATCCCAATCAATTAATTATTTTTTTAATTATTTCGTCATTCATTCAATCATTTATTTATTCAGAGAATAAATGGGCCAACCATTATTTTGATATTAGGTTATTTGATTAATCCATTCATCTGTCAGCCAGCCATTCTATCAATTCAGTCTGATTAATGCAATATTTAACGTCTGAGTAAGTCAATCATTTAATAGTTCAATCATCCATGAAATCGTTCGGTTGCTCTTAAAATCAATCTCCCTATGATTCAGTTAATCTCTTTTTTTAAATTTAATCATATAATTAATCTACCATTCGACTCTCAGCCATTCAGTGAAACAACCAGCTATTCAACCAATTCATTCACCCAACCAATCAATTCATTCAACATCCCTTATTCTCAGGTACTAGACTAAATTGCTCAGGAATCAATGTTTTAATACAGAAAAAAACACACATGTTTCTGGCATTAATATAATTGAAGAACACGGAATCTGTGACTCCTATTTCGTTTTTGCAACATACTATCAAGCGATGTAATCTGCAGTAGGAAAACTTCATTAGTATTCTTTTTTTGAAATTTGCTCTGCAATCTGAAGAACAGACAATACAAGCTAGTATTGTCAACAACTTGGGTAACACCAGTAGTGGCCACCGCGTCAGTAAATTACCCCATCACATCAATAATTTAGAACTATAGCCCAAGAAGTTTGAGAATACTTCGAAGATGTTTATAAGTATGGACGTTTCTGGTGCTGTTATCATAAACGGCAACGGTACTTGCATAGCTCTGTTGTTACGTTCAGTTATCTGTGGTAGTGTGGTTCCAGCATGAAAATTGTCACGATTTGACTTATATTAGATGAAAACTACGGGTTTTTAATGAAAATTGGACCTATTCCATATTCAAAAATGCACACTGCCTTGTTCAAAGTTTTTTTTTTAAATTGGTGCCATTTTAGAGAAAATTTGAAAAATGTTGTTCTAGGACTTTGCCTAATGTATGATGAAGCATTATCCATTTCAAATTTACAGGGCCATAAGTTTCACAAGATCGGTTGACGAATTTTAGAGATAATTCTGCTTTCTGTTTAGACGTTAATGTAATTCATAGCGGAGAGGCAAACACATTTCATTTTCTCGATTTACTATGTAAGTAGAAACGAGAGAGTTTCGTAATCGTGTGGCAGAAACCGGCGATTTTTCGACAGGAAAACTCTCATTGTCGGGACCTGATAACGAAGAAATGGATACATTTTTTTCCAAAATGTTGTGAATTACTTCCCCTGACACGTTGTGTGGTCATAATTCATGTTTTGTGGGTCCTTGATACAGAAAAAGCGATTGTAGGCAAGAATACCACCTATCGGCGCCTTCCTACAACTACAATATTGAAGATAGAGATTTGTGTTTCCATAATGAAATCTTTTTTCCACACAGATTTTGAAAAACGCTCATGTACAATTTTTCCAAACAAATTAGTAGTTTTTAGCGTAATGTTTCATGAAATGCAGGCAACTTTAAAGTATTTCCTTAAAAATGGCTCCAAATTTTTCTTACAATTGTATCTTCGTATTTCAGATGAAAAAGGACGGTAAATATATTGGCATTGGTCATTTTTAGAACTAGTGCTTAAAGTGAGACGATGGTGAAGGGTTCAGATGAATGTGTGAATTTATCAAATACTTTGAAATGTGTGAAATGACTTTCGTCTGACCGCATCAGATGCTACTGATCTTAATGTGTCATTAAATGATTTGTATACTTAAATTAAAATAAAATGAAAATCAGTAAGACTGTCTAAACAATAGTGTACGACGCACATGGTAAAAGTGGTCTGATGACTCGTATCATAAATATTTTTCAAAAAACTGCTTCAAATTTTTCTTTAATTTTTTCCAAGGATTGATTGAAGACGCTCAATTAATGTCGCATGTCTCATTTTCGTTTAACTGCCTGATAATTTCAAAATTTCAACATTTAGAAATAATGCGAGAAAATGTCTCCTGTTGTTGCACCATTAGTTTGGATTTGATTCTGAGCATGGTTGGAAAATGTGCATTGGATACTTTTTTTTTACTTTCTCACCTCACTTTATAAGAAATACAAATAATAAAAGTTACAAGTTAACAGAATTAGCAACGAATTGCCAAACGGAATTAGCAAGGACGTGCCGTTCTCCTCCCGCACCTACATTTCTTCCTCGTCAGGGCGAGAGGGGCCTCCCCTCTTCGTTCTGCACCATACGTAGACCTCGAATTTTAGGACAAATGTGTATTTAGTTCCTTTAGGAGATGGTGGAAAATAATTGCAAATGATAAGAATCATGAAAAAATAGATCTATTAAAAGCATCTAATGGTGCCTAAAATGTCTTAAAAGGGCGTTTGATGCCCATATTTTCTGCCAAAACTGCCTAAAACAAGTAATTTTGAAAGATTTTGATATTTATTTACTTGTTTAAAAAAATTGTTATACTGCAATGCAAATACTTCCCGAATTTCGCGAAACGGGAGTATTCCCTGATCGAATATGTAATCAACAACGCAGCGAAATCTCTCACCCGACACATACTCACCCGAACATAAGGATCTCAGCAAGTCGCTATAAATAGGGTGTTTCACGCTGACTACGATCATCATCCACTTCTTAGGCAGATACACCCATTCTCGGGGCAGCTGCGCTCTTGTCAGGTTAATAATGCAAAGTGTGCAGAATGAAAGAATATATATATATAT